GTTGTGATACACCAAATAGGCAGACAGACAGACAGATTGATAGATACATTTAAAATTCATTTATTAGGGATCTGTTAATGATAAAACTAGATGTTCTAACACCATCTGAACTTTGTTATTCCCCTTATTGTATTTAAATTCCCACAAAATTAAAGTCTATGCGTCTTTTATTTCATAGCAGCGAACCAGGTATGTTCTGCTATTTCCTTAGCAGCCCATCAGTGAAGCACAGGATTTTATCTGAGGATAAGAAACATTCTCCTTACCAACAAACATATAAGTAGACCTTGATTTATAGTTTCTAACAGTTACTATTTTAGAAGGACACTTAGAATAGCGAACATAGGAAAAATCACTTTTGAAAGCTACATTGAGTCATTTAGCTTTTTCTGTCTAATGTAAAATGGAGAATATAAAACAATGGTTCCTTTTGGATACTAAAAATGTTTAGAAACCACAGAGAGGAGCAGCTGTTGGCTTAGGTTGTATACACCTTAAAACAAACAAACAAACAAACTCACTGCCATTGAGTCGATTTTCAACTCATAGTGACCCCTCCTTAGGTTTCTGAGGCAGTATTTCCATGGAAGTAGATAGCCCACTCTTCCTTCTGGGGAGTGGCCGGTGGGTTTGAACCACCAGCGTTTGGGTTAGCAGTCAAATGCCTTAGACACTGCACCACCAGGGCTCCCTGTATACACCATGGGGTGTTTTATTTTATAAAGATCAAGCTATTCAATCTGGCCTCAAGATGTGATTTGTATTCAGTGATATGCCTCCTTCCACAAGGTCCCAAGGCACTCTGCACATGAAATTATATGATGACATTCAGCCCATTTCATCATCATTATCCGTCTATGTGTCTGAGTCCTGAGCTAGAATATAAACTCCATTAAGCAGGGACACTATTATTCAGCCTACTCTGACGCCTGGCATGTAGCAGGCACTTAATAGTTACTGGCATAGGAGGAAGGAAAGGCAACTTTGTATTTTATTGACATCCCCCATCATCTGCTGTTGTACAAGAAAAATGGGTGGTGGGCAGATAAAGAAAATATTATCTAAATTTGAAAAATACTATGTTTGGGCCTGATAAATGGCTGCTGCCTAGTTTTCATCTTTTCTTTTGTGTGTGGGATGTTAGGTTAGTGGATAACCTCTGCCTTCATTCCTGTTTCTGCATGTTGTTCATTCAGACTTTGGAAGTTTTAAAGAAGAATCTAAGGTTTGGAGCCTGGCAGTAATTCACAATGTAGAAAGGTCAGTGACAATATTTTCATCCCTATGGATATGTTTGAGAACAGAACTCAAAGAACTTCAGAAAATAAGCCTAGCACTTCTTAAACTCCCTGATGAGTAAAGTCAAAGAAGAAGTTTCAAAGTGTTTGGCAAGGGGTCAAGGGAAGTGGGCAAGACCCTCGAAGGAATCTTTATAATGAATAACTGAAAAACTGCCTTAAGCCTTAAGAC